CTATTTATTTATTTACACCATAAGGTGTGCCACAAATTGCTACACTATAATAAACTCGCTGAAACTTAATATTTCCACTAAACATTAAGACAGAGAGAAGGAGCACACGCTATTCATACTACTTCCTGAGAAGAGAAAAAGGTTATAAGTGAAGATTATAATTGAACACTTGTAATATAGTCCTCCCCTTGACAGTTGATGAGGCCCACTGCGAGATCGACCTTCGCATAAAGAACTTTGTTCTTGGTAAAGAGGTCGGTCTAGCACTGGCCGCATAAAATTTGTTCACAATCGACAACCGAAGTTGTCTACACATTGCCTTTAGCCTAACAGTCTAACGAAATCAACTGAACTTATCATTATATTTCGATGAAATCGGAACCTCACCTTGAAATTTGGAAAATTTTCTTTATCCTTCAAAACTTTGACAGCTAGTGTCGGTATATAAACTCCGGCATACGATTCTCCAGTGATGAACATGTCTCTTCCCCGGTATTCGGGGAACTTTTGGAGAAAGTCGACCTGTAGGTGAACATAGTGAAACCGATGTTCTTGGAATTAGCACTTTATGAACTCACAAGTGCTTGGTAGTTGTGCTGAGACACCTCGTCATCAGTGGTATTCACATTACCACGTGTATTGAATGACCACCCAACTCCAGAAGGCGATTCGAGGAATAGCACATTTGCAAACTGGAAGCATCAATATTTCGTGGAATACAGTTACCCAGATTTGCTTACCAAGTTCCATGAGTACTCGTTGGGATATACAGTTGCTCCATAGTCTTTCACTCTGAAGGGACCAAGCTCTTCAAATAAGCCTGCAAAAGTTAACAATCTAGAAGATATTTGCTTGCATGTGTGCACAGTGGTGGAAATGATTAAAGGCACGTTCCGCGATAAACTAAGGCTAGGTTCTCATAACCGTGCACGATGGTCAAGCAGGCAACGTCAGAGGCTATGCTGCTTTTAAAAGTTGAAAAACAGCAAGCAAAACGCAGGGCGCTCAGGTTTTAGGCCCATTGGCGCCCGATAGGCCCATGCCGGCCTCCAGTGACCGTGTCGTTGTGAGACTGCCATTGCGCTCTCTCGCCCGTCGTTTTCTGGCCTCTCTCGTCTCTTATCAGTGTATCGCCGCCTTTCGCAATTCACAATTGATCTTGACCACCTTACGCTCGTCCGATCATGATCAATTGCAATAAAGAGGGTCTTATTCCGGGCGCTTTTTCGTGCTTCCTTCTTCTTCAATAAGTCAACAAACACACGGCAATTCTATTTTTGAACTGTATTACCTATGAACTGTGGTCGCGGGAATTGCCTTTAAGTGGCGGCGTTGGGATTTGGCGGATGCTAATCGTCAGCTGAGCGTCCCTGATTTAGCTCACATCAGGACTTAAGACTTTACCTTTGATAGGTGTGGTGAGAGATTCATTTCCGGAAAGAGAACCTAACTCGGTACATCGATGGCTCAGCGCCACAATTTCTAGTAGGTCACATGTATTCAAGATTAAAAAACTGCGATTGAATGGGAAGTTAAATGACGTTGACGATTGGAAATAGGATTGCGTCAGTGCGAAGACTTTTTTCTTTAGAGGCGGAAGTGGCATTGCACAGTGGACATTTATCACACTCGATCGAGTAAAGGCATGAACGGCTAATCCAACTGATCTCACTCTCAAGGGCGGGTAAATTGGCACACAGTATCTACCGGGCGAGGATTTAAGAAACTGATTACAGGTGTGTAAAAAAAAAATTGGAGACAATGCCCAAAGCGCAATTTTCATATTCAAGCTATTGATTGATTTTCTGTAAATTGTGGACGAAAATTGTATAAACAGATAAGTATGCTGGTTTGTCATCAAGGAAAACGCCCTAGTGCAAGACAAACGCAAAAGTAGGGTAAAATCTAGCGGCACCGCCAGCGTGAGAATGACTGAATAACCGAGTAAAAGCCTTCGCCCCAACCCCATTAGGCATCTGAGATGACTCGAAGCGTGAGTCAAAGAAAATAAGAGCACAACACGAGCAAGCACTTCCCACACAGTTTAGGAAATCGGGAGTCGATATCTTTGAACACTCATGAACCTCCTGTGACGTTTACTCCACGGATGTTGAAAGCTCTGATCAAGTCCAGCCGTGAGCAAACCGAATTCACAGCGCTGAATAATTTTTTCTTGGACAGTGTGCTTGAAGCTTTTCGATTTTTGTCGAATACCCGCTATCTGCTCACCTTTCCACTATACTGCTGTTGCATAAGAGCTTCAGAACTGTTTGAAAGCGCGATTTTGTGCTTTGTTCCAAGTTTTTTTTTCGCAGCTGCACGGCTGGCCCTTCTCAGTGGAAGTGTAGGGCGGGGTTAGACTTTGCGATGGCAGCTTTTCACTGCTTCGGTCGTGCGTTGGACACGATCGATGCAGTGAAAAGCGTGCGTATTGATCGCTTCGAACGCGCGACTGAAGCGTTCTGAAGTCTGAACGCTGCCTAGTAGGTGCTGCATTCCCGCACAGATGAATGGGAAGTGAGGCTCGGAGAAGGATAGAAAGGAAAGCTCCTCATTCGCTACTAGCTCGAAAGGAGTCTACACATCTGTTCACACACATGACAGCAGCAAATGTTCGGTTTGAAAGAATTAGTGAGCAAGTTTACAAATGAACTATTGTCTGTGTAAGACGAGGACAGAGACGAGTGCTGAAATTTTACCTCCTAATGAAGAACAGCCGGGTCCACCATTCAGCCACAGAATCAGGGGATCGGTTGACGGATTCCGCTGAGACTCAGTAAGCCTAAATATGAAGCGAGAACAAATACTTCCAAAGTCTTCTCAAAAGCTGGCTCAACTTCAATTTTCCCCTGGGCTAGGAAATCTGTGCAAAGCCAGATATTCGAATTCGGATGCAGACACACAACTCTCTTCTCAGTTAGCAAGCCGTTAATTTGCGTTTAAGTTTATGGAAAAAAAGTGTGACCATTAAAGCACATACCAATAGTGAAACTGGTCATCGCTTGACGCTTCAAGATAGCCCGAGTAGCTGGAGAAATTTGGCGTGAAGTTCAGTGAAGGTAGGTTAACCACAAGATCACTAGCGGGTGCAGCTGCCACCAAGAGTTGATTGACCAGAGGAAGTACCAGCTGAAATAATGAGGTTTCTTCCGAGTATCGAAGCCAGGGCAACGGCAGATGGCTCCACCACGGTATAGGCCAGGGGGTGGGGGTGGCGGTAAGAAAAGACACTCTGCTCTTGGAGTGCATTATCAAATTTCATAGCAATGCTAGCAAGTAGCAATGTTTATAGGAGACCTGTCGCGAAGAATCCGTACCGGTCTAGAAACAGATGCTAGCTTTCTACCTCAGCCCCAATGCTCATGACAAGATAATATCATCCGTCATCACCGTCGAGCTCAAAACGGCTCATAAGAGTCGCGTCAGTTCTAAACAGCACACAGATTCTACGGTGAAGCACTCCTGTGCAGGCTCCCTTGGAGACTACCGCTTTGGTAAAAGGTTTCCGTTTGCCCAGCTCTTCACTGTGGTCCATCCATTTTTTTTTCTACGGCTCGACCTTACGAGTCAAGCTGGAACAGGATTTTAGGCTCGTGGATTTGACCAATTCAGAAAAGAGACATGGAAAAAGACACAGACACGAAAAGTGTCCAATGTGCATGTAGAGCGTTCACTGACAGCCTCTGTGCGAAAAACTCAAGCGGTACTTCTCAGAGCGTCTTATTTCGTTCCCTGCTACGCCATGATTCGTGCAACAATATGGGATGCTGACGCGCCGGAATGGTGCATGCGCAGCCAGAATCACAATTTCGAGCTGCGGCTTCAGCGACGGGCCATCATTTGGTAGGCGCCTAGCTGCACAGCGATCCGCGCCGCGTCACACGCCCTATCCTTTGCATTGATCATATCCTATACTAGTCTAAGCATAAGGTCCCTTGTCGCAGCTCCTCGAAAAGGCGAACCGCCTGTCCATTTCTGTTGGTTTATTTGAATCAAATGCATACGAGATTGTGAAAAGCTACCGACCATAGGATGATATCGTTGCATTCAGTCGGGGCGCTTTCAAGACAGGCCCACCAGAATTGGCTGATCCACCATTGGTTGTATTTTACCGTAGAATAGTCGACTAACCAGTCAACCACTTGGTAATCAGCCAGCAGCAGTGAGGGCTCAGTCCCCCCACCGCTCCCCTCCTCGACAGGCCCACTCCCTGCGCTATTGCCGGACGCCATCAGCTACATAATTACTTCCGGTTAGCCAACTGCACCAGAAAAATGGGAAAATGCAACACACAAAGATACACCATAGCTGAGACACATACTAATAGAATAATCTAGGAAAGGGTCAATCAGAGTAGCTAAGTTCCTAATATAACAACTAGATTATATAATCAGGAATACATCAAGATTCAAGTAAATCTTAATTGAAGGCACTATTACAAAGAACAATGTACTTGTAATATACAAAAGAACTCACAAGCATGGGATCATCCAAAAAGGAAAAGAGCTATTTGCCTGGTAATTCATTCTTTCGCGAGCCCCACTTTCTTCCAGATCACAACATCAGGACTCGGTTTTTGGCTCCACCAGCTGCATTTCTGCCAATGCCCATGAGCCTCGTAATGCGAAAAATAACTAAGAGGCAACCAAACCAAAATAAAAATTTAAATGTTGAAACGGTGAGACGGGATGCTTGGGTGATTTTTACGACAATTTTCACTTGGAAAATTTTATCTATAAAAACGAACCCATGGGAGGAGAATGGAAGATGACCTCATGGTTCGGCTCAAGTGATGTAACAAATGAAGGTAGCTACATGAGCGCTGATAACACTTTTAATCCTTCGTTTGCGCTAGAAAACTGATAATGAATGGATCTGTCTTGCATATTTTCGAGCCTTCGTCAGAGTGTTCCAACCCCCTGTGTCGCAAGAAAACTTCTACTCTTCTGGATGCCTTTTCTCATGAATGGATCCTGCCGAACAGCGTGGTGATTGCGAAACGCTCTTGAAACGAGTAGGAATAATATGCTTGGCAGGGCGGAATTCCGCGACTCTGTGCAGAGGCAGCGTAGCGTTTTTCCCAAGGAGGTGCCCTTATAAAACCCTATCCAGCTACAGCATACCGACCCGAACGCCCACCGCGCCCGCCCGCCCACAAATGGACGACCGTACCTGATGCTCGTATTGCTTCATTTGTAAGTAAAATATGAAGCGAAGGGATTTTTATGAAGCGGCTGCGGTGCTGCATGGATATATGAGTACATACCTTCAGCCGTAGGCAAGTTTCCTGTAGGCAAGATGCCTACAGGGAGCTCGTCCGAATTGCTTTCTTAAGTCATGAAGAATGAAGGCTTTTCTTCGCAGGTTTTTGACCGTTTCACTTCGTTTTTTCGCCATTCCCCCACTATATAGTGCCCTGCTAGCACTTTACGCCGAGTACCAAATCGTGCCGACTGCCTTTAATCAGAGCATTGCTCACCGTATACAGTATTGTCCGCTGCGGACAGGGTACAGCATGGGGATGTGCGAAATGGCGGTGTGAGTACGACCCCCCCCCCCTCGAAGAGGGTCCAGATACGACCCCCCCCTCCTGCTCTAACTGACAACCAGATGCATGTTCACCACAAATGGCTTCCTGAAATGGAATCGGAATTTCGAAAGCGGACTCTTCTCTAAAATCCAGGCAATAAGAGGCTGTTTCAGCCTCATGCAATATGAGGCTGAACAACAGCCTCGCATTACCTACAATTTTGTCTTATGTATGACATGCAACTTGTAAGAAGGAACAGTATGACATGCAACTTGTAAGAAGGAACACAATCGAAACAGCGACTAATGGTGATCATTGATAAGCTAAATTGGTGAAAAAAATAGCCCCAAGGTCAGCGTGCCCCAGATGTTCAATGAATGGTGACGGGGAAATCATAAAAACATGAACGACACAACAAAGCGAAACATGAAAAATAAAAAAAATGCGGAGCCAAATGAAAAAAAGGATAACCAGGCGGCAGTAAATCGTTCTATACTTGGCTATTATCGATCGCAAGGCTGCGACCGCTTTCGCTGCAAAAACGTCATTGGAGCGCGGTAACTCGAAAGTCAGCGTTCTGGGGTCTTTTCAGGAGCTTATATCTCTTTTAGGTGCGGAGCTTTTGAGGAATGGTGAGCAGCATGCAACGGCAAAGTTTCTACTGTTGTGTATTCTACCTAGTTGCAAACTGAACAATCCCCCGTTGGTGAAATATTCCGGATGGGTTTTGGATAGGCTAGGGGTAAATCGCGAGCTGGTTTCCATGCTTCACGCGAGGATTGCTTCGTTCAACGCAATTTCATCAGGATTAAAATCGTCCTGAAACCCCTCCATCTTTTCTCTTTCCAATAAGCTTTACAGTTTTTCTGAAGACCCACTAGTTCAGGAGATATTTTAGATGGGTCACAGACGCGCTACCCTCTGACCCACCCGAAAAATCGACTCCTTCTGTGCCATTGTGAGGATACACCTTCGAAAACTCCAAAACACATATTTCCCTTCAAATGAGTGAAAGAGGAGCTCGGCTATCACTGATCGATTTGGTCCGAGTGTGCGCCGTGCATTACGCTCCTACGCTCCTATGCAGAGGTGGTGGAAAGGTGTAAATTCTGATTTCAGGTGCTTTTATCCATGCA